CATTCTCAAATATATTTTTTTGGTTGGCTGATTCTCGAATAATTTTAGACTAGTCCTTATCATATTTTTCTGTTTTAAAAAATAAAGATAAAATCGATTAATTGTAGTCTACAATTCATGTCGAATTTCAATTCATACATCGATATCAGTATAAATTACTAGGTTATATATGACGCGGTCGAAGTCAAACAGTTATATGATCATAATGAAATATTTATGATTGTATAGATTCTTTTACTGTCTCACCTCTACATGTTGACTTGTGGACTGCATTAAGAACATTCATGGGCCTAGCCCAGTATAAAGTATAAACAAAACTTTGCTGTCATTATATATTTTTACTTATTTAATTTAATTCAAAAATCACTCATTAGGTGGTTAACCCAAGTACAGCTTTTGCTTGTTTAAGGTTCTTGCATGTTTAAGGTTTTGTATTTTGATTCGTTGTTAAGAGCTCTCAAATTATTCGTCCATGGACCATTGGGTGTGTAGTATGGACAGATTTTTATGGGGTAAATTTGGACAGTTCATAATGGGCAATGGTCCAAAAAAATGTCTATGCCCAATAAAGACCATCTTCAGATGAGCAAGTTCTTGGACAACCCATTTTTATTATTTTAATTAATTACAAACCAAATATCATTATTTTGACAGGAAAAATGTGGAATTGTGTGTTTCCCGCCAAAACCGTGAAATTGTAAATTTGTGTTTGCCCGCCAAAATTAAAAAATCACGATTTTTGGCGGAAAAATTGTGAGTTGCGTTTTATCTCAAAAACGAATATCACAATTTTTCAGCAAAAATTTGCGTAATATTGTCTTTCCTTCAAAACCATAAGTAATTTAATAAAAAATAATTTGTTAAATTTAACTATTTCACAAAAATAAAAATTTATAAATGTAAAATATTATAATTTGAAAATTATTTAGCTCTAAATATAATTTAAATTATAAAATATGATTAAAATAAAGACATGTCAATTCTAGTAATTAGGCATATGCCTATTGTCCATATGGTCAAGTCCATATTATCCGCGGACAAAACTGATCTTATGCCCAATTAGACCATTTGTTTTTTGGGAAAAATGTCAAAAAATCATGAACTTTCAAATTTAGGACGATTTAATCATGAACTACGAAGAAAACATATAAATCGTAAAGTTTTTGTTGATTTTAAAATTAATTAACAAAGTTTGGTTAACTAGCCATTTTAGTCATAGCGTTAAGTAGGCTAACAGAAATCTAAATTTCCGTTTACCTTCTCAGTTATGTCAAAATGATATCGTTTACTGTAGCGACAAAACGACGTCGGTTCGACGATTTGGGAAAACTTAAACCTAAATCTTCAAATCGATTTCATTCCCTAACTCTAGAATTTCTCTCTCGCTCCCTCTTTTGAAAAACGAAGAAGTTGGTGAAGAGGGACATGGTATGTGTTCCACAAGAAAATGGAGGTGGTGTAGAGGCAGAAGAAAACGATGTAGGTAGTGTCTAGGCAGAAGTAAATGATGGAGGTGGTGTCGAGGCAGAAGTAAACGATCGAGGTGGTGTGGAGAAAGAAGCAAACGATGGAGGTGGTCTCGAAGAAGAAGTAGGGTTAAGGAATGAAATCGATTTGGGGATTTAGGTTTAAGTTTCCCCAAATCGTCGAAACGACGTCATTTTGTCGCTACAATAAACAATATCGTTTTTACATAACAGAGAAGGCAAACGGGAGTGTAACACCGTAATCATTTTCTGTTAGCCTACTTAACGCTATGTCTAAAATGGCTAGTCAACAAACTTTGTTAATTAATTTTAAAATCAACAAAAACTTTACGATTTATATATCTTTTTCGTAGTTCATGATTAAATCGTCCTAATTTCGAAAGTTTATGATTTTTTTAACATTTTTCTCTTTGTTTTTTTTGGTCTGAACCATAGCCCGTCGGTGTATATTTAGACTTGGCAAGTCCATGGATGACTCGTCCAATTGAGAGCTCTACTTGTTTTAGCTAATAAATATAGGATTACATTGCAACCCCGAAAAAGTTTAAATAATTAAATCCACATGTCACATCACATGTGATTTAAACTATTAAATACTCTCATAATTTTGTTCTTACTTCACGATATAGATTAGACTAGAGTCTAGTGATCGACCTCTTGCTTCATTGATTCGACCCAAATTTTCCGACAAACGTCTTTTGATTAGATTAGACAATTGAACGATAACAAAAGGTTTCTTACAGTAACCTATCAAAGCTTTGACGGGACTTAATACAAGATTATTCGATTTAAATAACCAGTCTTTGTTTAATTATTTGTCAATTAATTTTTTAAATTAAATATTTTTAATAACTTTGAACCAATAGTAATATGAGACAATTAATAAATGCATTTTGAAATTTACGATACATTTATATCAATCAATAAATAATAAAACAAAATCTAAAAAATAAATCTTTGTGGAACAAACTAAAAAGTTAAAACATCAAATTTGTAGGAACAAATGGTGTATAGGTCTTTGACCTCATCCCTAAATCCTTATGGATCTCTTAAGTATGAATTAGTATTATTGTATTAAAATTAAAGACACTCCCACTTATGGGTGTCTAAAGTGTCTATATACCATAGAGGGTTTAGGGATGAAGATGGTCTAAGTTTAAATGTGATATCTTCAATAGAATTTGTGATTTTTTTTCAAGTGTGCACATATTTTTCACGTAACGTGCGTTCAATCAAATACCTTATAGTTCTTATTAAGACATTATAACGAACATTTTTCTGATTTTATCTTGCCCCTGAGGATTGTGTCTAAAGTTTTTGTGTTTGGACAGTGAGGACTTGAAGCTTGGATCTTCATTAAAATGCTCAGTGGTGTCCTCCCGTTTTAGATCTAAAGCTTTGTGTGATGACCTTTCAAAGGGGTTCAAAATAGACTTGCATTCCTTCACCCATCCTTTGATAAAGGTTATAGAAAAGACGGGAAGCGTGAAAAGACGAGAAACTGCAAAAAGTATGACGTCTTATGCATTTCTTATGTTTCTCCATTTGTGTTGATGCAATTCTGATCTGATTTTTAGGATAATTTGGAATTTTATATCTTCATTTTTCTAAATCTTCTGGTTTCTTTTTGTATCAGTTGTGGTTCTGCTTCTCATGAGACCATCATCTTGCTTCATGAGACCATCATCTTCTAGGAAGGAAGAGCAGATAAATCCAGCATCTTCTAGTAGGGAAGAGCTGGGGCGGAGGGAGTGAAGAATTATAGGGGTCAAATGACCCTAGTGAAATTTTGAAAAATATTGAGTTTTTATTAAAAAAAAATCATATTGACCCCTATTGACCCCAGTCCAACAAATAAATTGACCCCTATGAATGTTTAGTTCACGTACAAGTAAACGGAAGCCTAGTAATTATGTTGAATTATACATATAGAAGCCCAATAATTGTATTGAGTTATATATAATATTAGGCCCAACTAAAATCTATCAAAATTAACATAAATATAGAAGCCCAATAATTGTAAGCTAACCTAAATATATATATCTATACTAGTATAATCGCAGCACTTTTTGTGACGGGTGGGTAAAAAAGCTTTCAAGTATATCGGATATCCGACCCATTTTAAAAATTCCTTCACAAAAAATTTGTTGGGTCGGGTTATATTTAACCCAACTCATACACCGGATATTCCATATTTAATAATTTAGATTTTTAGAAGATATGATTAAGATTTATAATTATGATTCTCCTATCATCTTTGTTTGATTTGTTTTTAACTGTTTTGAATCATCATATAATACATAAAGTAAAAAAAAAAATCAATTTTTTTTCTGCATATACTGTGATTCGAAATTTTAAAAACGGACATATATTATCCAATTGACGAAAATGTGTGTTCAACGTTCTACATCGATTAAAATATTTAGACAATGATTCAGAATCATATCATAAATAAGAACATTAATAAAATAAATGAGTTTTTTGGCGGGATGGGTTTGGCGGGACGGGTTTTTGAATCAACAATAATAAAAAGATTAAAATATCATTAATCCGCCGCTTCAATACGGATTTAATCCTTTTTTTTAATACAAATCACAGGACGGGTTAAGAAGTTACGGAACGGGTTATATTTCGGAAATGATTTATATGGCGGACGAATTTGAATCAATATTTATATACCGCTTTAATACGGGTTAAATCCTTAGTTTATTAATAATTATCTCGTGGACTCGTGGTATACCGTTACTTAATAACAATTGTAAACTATAATATAAATAAATATGTTATAAGAAGATACAATTTACAAAATATTTTTATACTAACTTTAAAATTAAATCATCCCGCGGTGTACCGCGGGTTAAAATCTAGTATATATATATTTTAACAGCTAACCTAAATATTTTTACATACGTTGTTATAGCCTAAAACGATTCCAAGATATGAGTGAGCGTAGAGTCATCTTTAGAATCTATATTTGTGATGACATTGTTATGGTTTTAGTAAAGTTTAAACTTTTGTTTCGTTAAAACTTTTTTTGACCCCAGTGAGTCGTTGTCCTGGCTCCGCCACTGGGGAAGAGGAGATAAACCCAAAGGATGTTGAGAGAGGACCAGATGAAGAAGAAGCGGAGCGAGAGTTTGTGTTTTGGTTCTCGCTTCAAAATGAACATGTCCGTGCACGTGGTGGTGGAGTGTTAGAATTTGCTCAAGCAGGTCAAAGACAACATGTACTTTCATGGGATCACCCCCGGGATTCAAGAAGCGACTGCCAGAAATCTGAGACTGTAAAAGACGAATAATACAGAAGAATAATAGGGTTGTGCCGACCCTGTTTCAGATTTTACCATTGACACAAGCCGGTACTTAGTGTTTAGTTCTTTTTCAGTTTCATTCTTCTCCCATTAGTGTTAAAAACACACAAAACAGCAACATTGTTTATCATTACCGCAATAACTGAAATTAGTATATAAAGAACACATGATCATATGATCAAAAATCAAAAACTCAGGGAAGCTAATGAAAAAGAATTCACCGATTCAAGGAAAAAGGAGAAGAAAACTCTCTGTTTTTATTCAAATCCAAAGGTGCCTAAGGAAATAAGATCCTATTTATAAAGTTCCAACTACTAAACCTAATAGGATCAAAAGAATAACTAAAATTACAAGAAATCAAAGTACTTCAAAACTTAAACAAAGCAAACTTCTACAAGACTTGCAACATCAACTTGGCAGGCTTTGAATCGTCTTCTCGTTTCGTATAGACTCAAGCTGAGGAACCGAAAAGATTCCAGTCATTGACTTTGAAGGTAGAAAGTGATTGTTTAATGACATCACACATTGGCATAATTCCAGATTGTGAAGCTGGGACAGCTAAACCAGATCCCACAGCATCCGCGCTTTTGCTCAGAGGGCTGCACAATACGCAAACACATGAGACAAAAAGTAGACATGTGAAACAGCAACAATCTTTTAATATTCCAGTTCTGTATTAAAACGATGCATATCTATCTATATTCAATTGCTTGCAATATATCTACTATGTGACTCAAAATTTCAAGTTTGTGGGACTTACTTTATCAGGATTGGTTCATACGCAGTAACTAAGACATCTGTATCAACTCCCTTAAGACGAAGATTTGCCACATATACCTGCAGAATAAAACACCCTCTCATATAAACCAGTTGTGTCTCAAGTAACAAACCTTTAGAATTATGAGACAGAACAAGGAAAAGCTTCATACTCTCACTAAGTTTTGTGCTTCTCTTCCTTGTCTTCCTTTGGATATAGCCTGTAATGATCGTTGTTAGGGAAAACAATTACAAGGAAACTCATTTGCAAACAAACGAAAAGATCATGTGTATGGGCATTACCATCTCTCCAATAGCAGTCGTCGCAATGGCAGGAATGTTTCTGAAAGACAGTCCAGGCGCCTCAATGACCTCTGATTGCTCTATCAACTGAAAATTACACAGCAACATTACTAGATTGTCTTCATATATATCAATCTTTGTAAAGACTAACCAAAACAAAACCAGTATTAGTTCTATTTCGACTAGTTTCAGAGACTGAATCAACAATAACCAAAATAAAGCCTCACTAGTATTATCTCAGGCAAAAAGGGTCCAAGTTTGGGAAATCTATACTTGTTAAGCTCTATGTTTGTACTCAAGAAACTAGATCTACTCTAGAGAAATAACAACACTAGTTCTTAAAGTTGATTAGTCTACCAAAAAAAAACATAAGAAGAGTTCTAGTGTAGTAGTGTGTTACCTGAAATCCTTCAGCATCTTGCTCACGAGCAAGATCGTTAAGGAACCAAGAAGCACTGCCAATGTCACCAACCTCAGTCTTGAAATCCAACAACTCAAAAATCAAACTCTCATCTCTTGAAGGATCCACAAACACTTCCTGTGAAAACCAACAATCAAACGCCAAATACAGAGTAAACTAGAGATTCTTCAGTACATCTTAATTAGAAATCCTTGACTGAGAATAGAACCAAACCTGATGATCTGGAACTTGTCGGATATTACTCACATCCTGAAGATTCACAATAAAGAAGAAATGAGGAAACCAGTGAATTTCAATTAGCAGCGAAAAGGGTTATTGACAGAACCTGAAATCTTTGAGGGAAGACGGTGGAAATAGCGCCACCAAACAAAGGCCTCACCGAACACAACTCGCCAGACATGTTTTGCTACATTCAAAAACATAATCCAATTACAACTCTGAAAAAAACGAAACTTTGCCAAAAAAACGGTAACCAACATAAAAAAAAAAATCCTAAAATTTGAGATTAAAGAGAGAAAGGATACCACTTTAGAAGAGAATTTGCTATAAACTGAAGGTTGCAAGTTGCGAGCAAATTAAACAAATGAAGTTGACTACTTATATCAAAAGAAGCTTTGTTTCAACGCTATCAAGAAGCGTTTGCGTTATTTTAACGCGACGAAGAAGCTAGACTTTTATAGTTTTATAAACTTTTAATTGTTTGAGGATATAACAGAACCGGAAAAAAAATTCTCAAATTTAATTCCAATTTTGGTCCTTCCAAAAATTGAAAATCTAAATTTTTTTTTTTTTTTAAATGTTTCATGTGATTTTAAGGTGATGGAGACCAAAAAGAAAAAAAAAACGAATTACCAATAAAATCAACCAATTGCGCCACTACGTAAAAGCTTTTACATACTTACCAGACTGAGAAAAGTGAAGGTTTTTAAGGAATGTTCTTCAATGTCTATCTGTGTCTCTGCGAGTTCGATTTGGAAGAGAGAGGTGAGAAGCTGAGAAAAACATTGAAACGGCGTCGTTTATTTATCACAGATTTTTAACAAAATAACAAAGCCTTATTCTGGCCCAATATAGCTTAAAGCCCGTTAACTTCTTTTATTATCTTACGGTTTTGTTTGATAAACGAATCGAACCAAGGAGATGAAGTAACAAGAGAGGTAATCAAAAGTCAAAACCACTGGGATAATAATACTAAGCACAAAATTAAAAAAAAAATGACACCTTTTTCTTCCGCTTCATTGCTATCATCTTCAACCTTCAAATTCTTCATCACAAACCCTAACCTCCGATTTCTGATTCCTCGATTGAGCTAATGACTAATCGATTCTTTGTGATCTCTCTCGTTTTTTGGTTTTCTATTTCAGTTTTTTTTCAACATGAGTAATCAGAAGAAGAGAAATTTCCAGATTGATCCAAAATACGCCGATAAAACTTGGAAGATTCTGGAACATGCGATTCATGAGATTTACAATCACAACGCTAGTGGTCTCAGTTTCGAAGAGCTTTACAGGTACTTCCATAGATTCACTTTGATTCATCTCTTGTTATTGTTCTACTAAACTTTGTGTTGCTTCTTTCAGAAACGCATACAACATGGTTCTACATAAGTATGGTGATAAGCTTTATACTGGACTTGTTACCACTATGACATTTCATCTCAAAGAGATATGTAAGTCTATTGAAGAAGCTCATGGAGGTGCTTTCTTAGAATTGCTTGATAGGAAATGGAATCATCACAACAAAGCGTTGCAAATGATTATGGATCGGACTTACGTTTCTAGTACTAAGAAAAGGCATGTTCATGAGCTTGGACTTCATCTTTGGAGGGATAATGTTGTGTATTCGAGTAAGATTCAGACTAGGCTTTTGAATACGCTTCTTGATTTAGTTTATAAGGAACGGACCGGTGAAGTTATAGATAGGTTGTTGATGAGGAATGTGATTAAGATGTTTATGGATTTGGGTGAATCTGTGTATCAGGATGATTTCGAGAAGCCGTTTTTGGAAGCTTCTGCTGAGTTTTACAAGGTTGAGTCACAGGGGTTTATTGAGTCTTGTGATTGTGGTGATTATTTGAAGAAAGCGGAGAAACCTTTTGTGGAAGAAGTCGAAAGGGTTGCTCACTATTTGGATGCCAAGAGCGAAGCGAAGATTACTAGTGTTGTTGAAAGAGAAATGATTGCTAACCATGTGCAGAGACTAGTTCATATGGAGAATTCAGGTTTGGTTAATATGCTTTTGAATGATAAGTATGAGGATATGGGTAGAATGTACAGTTTGTTCCGCAGGGTTGCCAATGGTCTTGTTACTATTAGAGATGTTATGACTTTGCATCTTAGGGAGATGGGAAAACAGCTGGTTACCGATCCAGAGAAATCAAAGGTTCCCGTTGAATTTGTGCAGCGTCTATTGGATGAGCGGGATAAGTATGACAAAATTATCAACATGGCATTCAACAACGTTAAGACGTTCCAGAATGCGCTGAATTCTTCGTTTGAGTATTTCCTCAACTTGAACACCCGTTCTCCTGAGTTTATCTCCTTGTTTGTTGATGATAAACTACGAAAAGGACTAAAAGGTGTGGGGGAGGAGGATGTGGATCTTATTCTTGATAAGGTGGTGATGTTGTTTCGCTATTTACAGGAGAAAGACGTTTTTGAGAAATACTACAAACAACATCTGGCAAAAAGGCTTTTGTCTGGAAAAACTGTGTCGGATGATGCTGAGAGGAATCTGATAGTTAAACTGAAGACAGAATGTGGGTATCAGTTCACTTCGAAACTGGAAGGTATGTTCACTGACATGAAGACCTCACACGATACACTGCTAGGATTTTATAATAGCCATCCCGAGCTTTCAGAAGGACCGACACTTGTTGTTCAGGTTCTCACAACCGGTTCTTGGCCCACATAGCCAACCATACAGTGTAACCTACCTGCAGAAGTTTCTGTTCTGTGTGAGAAGTTCAGGTCATATTACCTCGGGACTCACACCGGCATGAAATTGTCTTGGCAAACCAATATGGAAACAGCAGATATCAAAGCAGTGTTTGGAAAGGGTCAGAAGCTTGAACTAAATGTTTCGACTTTTCAAATGTGTGTCCTTATGTTGTTCAACAACTCTGATCGACTGAGCTACAAAGAGATCGAACAGGCAACTGAAATCCCCACCTCAGACCTAAAGCGTTGCTTGCATTCAATGGCGTGTGTAAAAGGTAAAAACATGCTAAGAAAAGAACCAATGAGCAAGGAGAGGACTCATTCGTTGTGAACGACAGGTTCGCAAGCAAGTTCTACAAAGTGAAGATAGGAACTGTGGTGGCACAAAAGGAGACAGAACCGGAGAAGCAAGAGACAAGACAGAGAGTAGAAGAAGACAGAAAACCTCAGATCGAAGCAGCTATTGTGAGGATCATGAAGGCAAGACGAGTGTTGGATCACAACAACATTATCGCAGAGGTCACCAAACAATTGCAGTCGCGGTTCTTGGCAAACCCAACAGAGATAAAGAAGAGAATTGAATCGCTCATTGAGCGTGATTTCTTGGGGAGGGATAATACAGACCGAAAACTTTACCGCTATTTAGCGTAAAAAGTTTTGAGATGATTGATTACGAGTCCCTCTGTTTATTTAGCGTAAAAATATCGTTTTGTAAAAAGAAAACACTATTTAATGTTTTATCTTGAATACCCTAAACTCCAAGATTCTTCTATATATATTTTACCAAAAAAAAAAAGATTATATATATAAATACATATCTTTTTTTTTGGGCAAAATACATACATATCTTGTTCATTGTTTTTAGGGTTTGACGTCATTTGAGTAAAATGGGTTCATGTTCGCCAGCAGTTTCTAGAATTGTGGAGAATTGGAGAGAGCATCCTCCATCTTCGTATTCCCTCAAGATTCAAAACTTCTCCCAACTTGAGAACTCCACTGCCTCCTCTGATCATAAATACCAGTCTCGTCTTTTCTCCTCTGGTGGATATAACTGGTATGGATTTATCGTTACGCACCATGTATATATAAGGCCCAAAATATCTTATCTAGGATCTAGCTAATGTTATATGTTGTATATAAAAACAGGAGATTGATCCTTTATCCGAAAGGAAACGTAAAGGACAATGGGAGTGGGTTTATTTCGATGTACGTTGAATTAGACAGCACAAGCTTGATGGAATCCATACCACAAACTCAAGTGTTTGCTGAACTTCGTTTCTTTGTATACAACAAGAAAGAAAACAAGTATTTTACTATTCAAGGTGAAGTATACATCTCATGTTCTTTCTTCAATATTTTTTTTTTGAATAACCGCGGGTCTCCCAAAGGCTTCCTAGGCCCAAAGACTAATCCCACGAGGCTGGCAATTCCCCTATGTAAACCTGCCAGTGGCCGTGCCTCGAACCCCTTTATCATTTATTAAGTAAGTGATATTTATATATGCAGATGTAGAAGTAAAGCGGTTCAATGCACTTAGAATGGTGTGGGGATTGATCCAAGTTCTTCCATATGATACATTCATTAACCCTGAATTTGGATACATCTTTGAGGGAGGTGAATGTGAGTTTGGTGTTGATGTCCTTGTTGCTCCACCCCTTACTAATTGGGAAATCCTCTCTTTTGATGAGAAACTCTCTCATCCCAAGTTCTCTTGGACTGTTAAGAGTTTTTCTGACTTGAAAGAGGATGTTTACACATCAAATAAATTTTCCATGGGAGGAAAGGAATGGTTAGTAATATAAATTATTTTCCAAAATTTTGTTTATGGACTAACAAGTATGTTTCTATATATACACATGTATGTGAATGTTAACATGTCCATACTTAATGTTTTGTAGGATTCTAAAGCTGTATCCAAAGGGTGACTCTCCAGCAAATGGCAAATATTTATCCCTTTATCTGCATTTAGCTGATAGTGAAACACTAAAACCAGATGAGAAGGTTTTCAAGCAAGGACATGTGCGAGTTCTTAACCCGATTGGATCTAATCACGTGGAAGGCCAATGTAGTTTCTAAAAAATTAAGTCTTCTAATTATACCGAGATATTCATTTGGAGTTCGGTCTTTCTCATTAACCATGTTTCGCATTTTACTTTCTTGCAGATAGCCGTTGGCACAAGGAACCAGGCAAGGGTTGGGGTTGGGATCAGTTTATGTCTTTAGCTGATCTTCGGAAGACCTACTTGGACAAAGAAGATGCGTTGAATGTTGAGGTCGAATTCAAAGTTGTTTCTGCTACCAAATATTCTCCCATTTGATAACCTCTATTTTTTACTTTTAGAATATCAATAATCTACCATTCTTCTACTATAGTACTACGGCACAATGCTATATGTCCTGGACCAATTTGTTATAATTTGAGTTCTCTAGTTTTCCATAAATTTGCTTTTATAAGAAAATATGTTGTATATTTTGTTTCTTCGTTTTTTACTAGAAGGACTTTTGTTGCTTCCATACTGATATGCTCTAAGTTTACTCCAAACATTTTGATTATACATAAATAGCCAAAAGATCACATCTCTTCTCTTATAATTTCTCCAGTTAAGCCACTCAAGTACCACACATTCTCCAGTTAAGCCACTTAAGTACCACACACTATTTAATCTTTCAAACAGGACATGACTAGTATATGCATTTTTTAGCCATCTACGATGTATACTTTTATATAATAATGTAGTAATATTTTCATTACTGATCGTAGTTTTTTCTCACATGTTTTACATTTTTTGGATTGATAATATTAAAAGTTAAAATTACAAAATTTATCAAAATCTTCTTAGAGAAAAAATGGGTTATTTACAACTGATGAATCTGGTGTAAAGTTATCTAAAAAAGATATGTACTTTACTAAGAAAATCTGGTCTATCTCTCTTTATTTTCCTCTATCCCTATAAATTTTTTTTTTTTTTTTGTTAAACGATAGTGTTTATAAAACCCTAATATTTATCTCGACGCCCCAAGATTCATCTTTATATATTAATCAATCATAGTTTTAAGACTTGCACTGTGTTGAAAAAAATAAAATGGGTGCATCATGCTCAGCACCAGTTTCTTCTACAATCAAGAAAAACTGGAGAGATCATCCTCCTTCTTCTTATTCTCTCAAGATTCACAACTTCTCACAATTTGAGAATTCTACTGCCTTCTCTGATCATAAATACCAATCTCGCCTTTTCTCTTCTGGTGGATATAACTGGTATGGATTGTATTTTCATGGTTTAGCATTAATCATTATATCTTATCTAGCCAATGCAATATATGTTTTTTTATAAAAACAGGAGATTGATCATATATCCGAAAGGTAACGTAAAGGACAATGAAAGTGGGTTTATTTCTATGTACGTGGAATTAGACAGCACAAGCTTGACAGAATCCACACCAACTGAAGTCTTTGCGGAACTCCGCTTCTTTGTCTACAACAAGAAAAAAACAAGTACTTTACTAAAGGTGAACTATATATATACATCTCATGCGTTTGCCCAAAAAAAAAAAAAAAAAAAAATACATCTCATGCTTCTCTTTCTCTAAATTCACATTCTAAAATCAGTCATGGATGTATTTTATATATTTTTTAGTAGGGGTGGGCATTTAAACCGAACCGAACCGACCCAACCCAACCGAACTCAAACCGACCTAAGCTGAACCCAAGCTTATACTCAAACCATTCGGTTGGGTTTATTCTCAACCCAAATGGGTCGGTTTGGTTCGACCGATAACCCAATGTGTTTATTTAATTAATTATTTAATTATATTAAATAAACCGAACCGAACCGAACCCAAACCGAACCCGAAGTTAAACCGAAATGCCCACCCCTATTTTTTAAGTGTTAAAATAAAGCGGTTCAGTGCACTTAAAATGGCGTGGGGATTGCGAAAAATTCTTCCTTGTGATACATTCATTAACCGTGAAAATGGATACATCTTCGAGGGAGGTGAATGTGAGTTTGGTGTTGATGTCATTGTTTCTTCACCTCTTACCAATTGGGAAATCCTCTCTTTTGATGAGAAACTCTCTTATCCCAAGTTCTCTTGGAGTGTTGAGAACTTTTCTCAGTTGAAAGAAAAGGAGTTTTACACATCAAAAAGATTTTCAATAGGAGGAAGGGAATGGTGAGTATCTATATAAAAATTGTATCTCTATAGACATGTGTGTATGAATGTTCGTAATATTTAATCTTTTGTAGGTTTCTAGAGCTGTATCCGAGGGGCAACGCTAGAGCAAATGGCAAATATTTATCCGTTTATCATAATTTAGCTGATAGTGAAACACTAAAACCAGATGAGAAGATTTTCACGCAAGTACATGTGCGAGTTCTAAACCCGCTTGGATCCAATCACTTGACAGCCCAAAGTAATTAATTACTAAAAGACAGTTGCATTATTATCTTAATAGTTTATAATCTTTCTATATACAAACTGAGATATTAATTACTCTCATTGTAACTATGTTTCACATTTTATTTTCTTGCAGTGAACTGCTGGCACAACCGCACAAGGAATCAAACTTTGTTTGGGGTTGGTATCACTATCATTCTTTAGCTGAAATTCGGAAGACTTACTTGGACAAACAAGACACGTTGAATATTGAAGCCGAATTTAAAGTTGTTTCTGCCACCAAATACTCTACCATTCTCTAAACTCTTTTTTTTTTTGTTTACTTTTAATTTAGAATAATATTATCAGTTATCTGTTATTCTTCTACGTACTATGAGTAGAGTATTAAGACACAATGCTATGTCTTGGACCAGTTTTTAATTTTTCATTCATATTCTCATCTGGATTCTATTAATTTGTTTTTATAAGAGGAAAAAATGATTCCTTTAATCTCCCAATCTATTTTCCAATGTTTCTTAGCAAAGGTTTTTATCTTCAATATCGAAAAATGAGTGTCGGGTCAATTGGATCCTAGTAGCTACGGGACGAATAGAACCAAGGCCAAAGTAAAACTAAACTCGAGACGAACGTCCAAAGGGAGTAAATGGAATGGTTGGAACCTCATTCAAAAGTAAATTTGAAGTAGAAAAGTTTGTTTGGATTCTATTTTTGAAGAAACTCCTATGATTTACTCCCCCCGACTTAGATCTTTGCTTGTCCTCAAGGAAAGCAGAAATCCTTATCAAAAGAAGAGGTTTGAAAACACGAGAACTCACATTTTCTTCGGGATCATGATCTTATCAATTGCCTGCAAACCACTATCACAAAACTCATCAAACCGTACTAGACTGTACTTCGCCATAACCGTAGCAACAAAATTAAGTCCCGAGATCTAAAAGAACTTTCAGAATCAGATAACTTAACCTTTTAACATTTATTAGCAGTGGCGTGTATTCTCACAAAGGGGGTATCGAACACGTTATGGGCTTGGTAAAAAGGCTATTTGGTGGCTCTAAGTGTTTCGGGTTCTCAAACAGTGTAAAACGGATGCATGTCATTATGCGAAATCACAGTGAGACACAAACCAACTAGGAGGTACATAGCTTCCCTTAAGCTCGGATCAAATCAACCAACACACTATCCCAATCAAATCAATAAGTACCCCTGATGCTTAACAATATAACCAATAGTAACTCGACATTTCCAGTTCCAATCACTCTCCTTTCCCGCTTCTTCTTTTTATTTTCGTTTTTTTTTTTTTTTTTTTTTTGAAGCGGGGGAGTGGAACCGGTGTCTCACAAAAATCTGCATCAAGAACAATCGCAAACAGCAGCATATACCCATGAATATAACCTCTAAACCACAATGGCTCAATCTCATCACATATCGACAACCAGTAAACTACAACTCACTATCCTAACAAAAGGAAAGCTATGTCGGTCCGTATACTCCGTAGTTTTTGCACATGGATGCATATCATGATGATCATATAAGAATGCATGAGGTTTCAAACAATGGGTGGGGAAACAGGTGCGGTACTAGACTAAAAATGAGTCTAGCCATTCAGAATTAGCAAAGAGTGGTAAAAGTGATGCGAACAAAACTCTGAATGTATGATCCATTACATGATTCTCAAGCCCCTAAGTGAGATAAATTAAGTCCATATTAAGTTCAAGTATATAAGATTAAGCTCAATTCATCCAAATTTCAAAGAGATAGGGACTACTATAGAGTGATCAAGTGATGGATTTTCCTGAACTTCCAAGTTATCGAATAGTGCTAAAATGGTCCCAAGGCAATGAAATCAAGCAATGTGCAATTTCCCAAGAAAATATCATAGTTCTCAAACAATTTTGACTCAATAAAAGACACAATTTTGACTCGATAAAAACGAACTGACTGACTCAAACGAAAGCAACAAAAGAAACAACCAAAGCAAACTCGATTAGTAGACAAATGACATCATCCCCCCGACTTGCTTCACACCGACTCGGTATGAAAACAATTCGAAGAAACGATGCCATACACACTCAAAAGAAAAAAAATGAAAATGCGAAAAAGAAAAAGAAAAAAAACTTACTTGGGATACATTGTGGGTTGCCTCCCACCAAGCGCTTATTTTAGGTCATAAGCTTGACCGCTTAACACAATTATTAATCATAAGAATCAAAAGGTTGAGCCAATGGACCTTTTGTCCTTCTCCTGTTAGTGCAAGAAATGAGATGTGCCAAGTAATACATAATTATCCATGGTAATGAGATAAAATTCACATAAAGAAAAATTACTACAAATGTAGCATATACTTTGAAATATTCCTTGATGGTTAAATGCTCATGAGGATCAAATGCATTTGGAGGAAAAATAAAGTCAATTTCCGGCTTACATGATGTTTGAACAAAATAATCAACTTCATCCCCACTGATCTCATATAGCACAATATCTCCATCCATATAATCAACCTCAGGATCGTCATTCTCATGCAAAATCCTATCAATATCAAGCATAACTCCTAGTAAAGATTCATCAAGAAGAGATCTAGATATTTCAGGCATTGAAAACTTAAACTCGAGATCATGAACATTCAAAGCACAATGATATTCAATATCAAAACATATTTCATGGTAATCCCTAGCAAGTTTTGCTGCTCTTAAAGTATCTAGTCGTTGAGACTCACATATCAAATCGTAACATTCATCAATGATCATGGAAGTATGCAAACTAGAAGTCACATCTTCAATGCATGACAACTGAATATCCTCAATATCATGAATTTCAAGGGTTGAAACGCATGTACCTTCTAATTCGCTTGGTGGAACCCAATATATTACCTTTTCAAGCGCACGAGCTTCTTGTTCTTCATAGAATGTGACTTCTCTTCCTTCACATGCTGCCCGGTGTGATAAGAGATTACACCGGATCAAGATCGCTAAATCACTCCTAACAAATGTCGGATGTTCGTTGTGAAGTTCATCTAACTTCACTTTTTGTTCCGGTGTAAGAACACTCTCATCAAATGGTGGCTCCGTATATGGCTCATCCTCTTCTTCTTCTAGCCAATCATTATATTCCATGGCCAGCACAGCACCTAAAAAAAACAAAAGTGATAGTTAGCAAAAAAATAAAAATACTTTAGACTAAAAACTAATCCTAAATCCTTAGGTAACGCAATTGGTCCCCGGCAACGGCGCCTTTTTCTTTTTTTTTTTTTTTTTTTTTTTTTTTTTTTTGAAAGAAAACATGATTCAATAAAATAGAAAAGGAATAGGGTTTAGAAATCTTCTCCAAGTGTCAAGAGGATGGATTCCTTTGCCCAAAGTTATTTACAAACCAAAGAACCAAGTTTAGAACTCAAAAATATCAAAGATAATGTGTAAAGAGTCGAGCATAGGGTTTTAAAACAATAGGAAACGAGCCGGGTCGGATCTGGAGTGAATCGGGTCAATTCTGGGCCAAAAGTACGTCTCGGGAAGGGATCGAACGATCCGGTGGGTGGATCGATCGATCCCGAGTCACTGGAAACTGCTTCTCGTCCGCAGAGGATGGGATCGATCGATCCACAAGTGGATCGATCGATCTGAATCTTCTGGTCTCCAACTCCGCAACTGCTTCAAATGCTCGGCAGAATGACCTGTCTTCACTAATTCAGGTATAGCTCTTGAATGCACCGTTGGATTTCCTTCAAACCACTTGTAAACTCAAGATAACATCTTCATCTAACTTGTGTCAAAAATGCAGAAAGATCTAACGGTGGGAAGTATTCCATCTGAGGAAAAACGTCTGACATTTCTAAACGAAACTGCATCTCCAAAAGTGTGTTTATACCCCAAAACAGCTCGTTTTCCTCCGAAGCAACCTAAAACCTGTAGAGACTCGATAAACGACTAAAAGACTCTAAAAACACACTTTGACTCGATAAAACATATGATGTAAGAAAGAAAACAAAGACTCAAAACCGATAAAAACACAACATATCAATTTTTCAAAAACATTTTGTTCAAGGTAAAAACTAGTAGAACCGCATAGATTCAGTATAGTAGAAATAAAATATCCTGACATATTTATTCTTGGAAAATTGGAGTAAATAACCACAAAAAACAACAAATTAAGTAAGTAACCATAAAAAAAAGAGGTAACGATATTCTGTATATATTATGTAATATACACATTTATACCCCCCCTTACACGGTCCTCATCAGTTTCTAATCCCGGCTATGTAATCTCCTCACACCACCCTCGTCTCTTCCTTTCTCCACCGTCGAATCCAGATCTCGACGTCGTATTCTTCAGGAATCCTCTCCGACTTCATTCTTCCGTCTTAGGGTATTCAATCAAAATTTTTGATTTCGTTCTCTTTAGATCTAATCCAGGCTCATTCGACCACAAATCGAAACTTCTATACGCAAACATGCTCAACGCTCAGATATTTTGTCGGTTTCTCCGCAACGTTGCCGCCGGTAATGGCAAAAGACTGTAGCTCCGATGACAAAAAAGCTGTGTTTTAAAGTTGTGGCAATTGAAAAAATAGAGAAATAATGCAGGGCTAAACTTGTAATTATTTAGGGTTTTTAGTTACTTACTGAATTACTTAAATCAGATGGCTAAATTCTTTATTTTTGGTCTAAATATGGCCACTGAGCTAATTCACCCTTTATTCTTATTGGTATCTATCGGGTTTTTTGGATTATATTCATTCTCATATATATTCGTCGCGACTATTAGCGGTCTCAATTTTTATTTCATCCAGAGGAATCAGTACATATCGGTTTCTTTGTGGGATAATGTTTCAAGAACAATCTAATTCGGGTTTTGGTCATCTCTTACAGACGGTTGCAACTTTCTTATCATCATCATCTCTAGTTATCTATCATTCTTAAATCTTAACCATTTATCTTTCATAGATCGTTTATAGATTGCTAAATATAAAAGACGAGATTTTCTTCATTCAAATAGTATTATCGATTTTGAAAAACTGCGGATATCGAAAAATAAATTTAAAAATTGGAAAGTTTGTGATTAATTTCATTAATTATGAAAGCTAGAAAAGTTGAATTTTACATTCATCATTCAAATGTTCAAACTTACGGCGTCGTTTCACAGACGACATGAAACTAAAACGAGGAACAAAAGTACAAAACCAACCAATCACGCCATCGCTAACAGTAATAATCAAACAAAGTAAGTAACACGTTAACGAGATATTTCTTACCGAATCAACCGTAATAATCGCATCAAAAGTTATAAACGCTCCAAATTCTGCCACGTAGATAGACTCACTGTAGATCTAACGACACTAGATAATTAGATATTTTATTTTATTTCTTTCAATGAGTACAGTTCAGCCACGTCTGTCTCTCAGACCAAAACGCAAGTATCGTTCTTTGTTTTGTTTCTTCTTCATCGTTGATTTGTCAAACTCAACGACGCCAAACCCTAAAACAATCATCGATTCAACAATCAAATTTCCCCGATTGAAGGATAAAAATCAAACCTTTAGCAGTTTTCTCTGTTGATTCCTGTGATAAAATCTTTCCTTTTTGCATCAATTGCGTTTGGTTGATGAAGAGGATCTGAAGAAGCTGAGATTTAGGAATGATGGGTTTTGCTGTATCGGATGAATTGTTGGGTACTGTTGCTCCAATTGTGGTGTATTGGTTGTATTCTGGGATTTATGTAGCGCTCTCGTCTTTGGAGAGTTATAGATTACATTCAAAGGTTGAAGAAGAAGAGAAGAATCTTGTATCGAAAGCTTCTGTTGTGAAAGGTGTTCTTGTTCAACAGGTTGTTCAAGCTGTTGTCGCTATCCTTTTGTTCACGGTAAAGTTTTTCTCTTTTCCCATTTTTGAGTTTATTGCTTTTGTGAAAAGTAAGGTAACAAATTGGGGAAATTTTAATAATCTGATACTGACGTTTTATGTGTGGAATTGGATGATGAAGGTTTTTGTTTTAAAAAGGTTGACTCTTTTTGTGTTGATGTAGTTTTTCCACCCATAAAGAGAAATGGGTTACGCATTAATGATCTGATATTGGCATGTTTTTGACCAAATTCTAAAGTTAAATTGCTAAAATAAAGGATTTTTCATCTGAAAGTTGGATCCTTTTATATCACTAATAGTGGAATGATTCTCAATCTTTCATGACCGTTAAATCGTTATATTAGTGTTAGAAAAATAGTTTTGAGGAAAGCTTTAGTATCAATAGGGATTGAAGAGATCAGTGATTTGGCAATTGTATTTGGACTTGGGAGAGCTTAGGTTGCTTTAGAAGTCACCAGAGGGCTCTATCTTAGGCCCGGTTGGTCCTCTGTTCCTCACTTGTGTTTAGATTCAGAGAGGACTGGTTCTTATCAGCTTATCTGATGAGAAAACTTTAGTCAACCAACAAACAGCTGATCAATAATAGAAAACCTTGCTAATTATGATCTTTTTGCTTAAGCAAGGTCTTTTGTTGAATATAAATGTCCGGAATGTTGTTATATTCCGTGAAGCGGTATCATGGGTTCTTGGTTTGCATTTGTCTGATCCTGAGTACTTGTAATATAGACATGCCTCTGATAGATTGATTCATCAATAACATGGAATATCTTATTTTCTGTTTGTACTGGTTTTTGTTTTTAGCCGTCTTACATATATGCTTCTCCATTGTCTATACAGGTGACAGGAAGTGATGCCGAAGCAGACAAAGCGCAACAGTTTTCCCTATTGGTCCTGGCAAGACAGTTTGTGACTGCCATGATAATCCTAGACACATGGCAATACTTTATGCATCGATATATGCATCACAATAAGTTCTTATACAAACATATCCACTCTCAACACCACCGTCTTATCGTCCCTTATGCATATGGAGCGTTATACAACCACCCAGTGGAAGGTCTTCTCTTGGATACTGTTGGAGGCGCCTTATCTTTCCTAGTCTCTGGTATGTCTCCAAGAACTTCCATCTTCTTCTTCTCTTTCGCCACAATCAAAACCGTGGATGACCATTGCGGTCTCTGGCTTCCTGGAAACTTATTCCATATGGTCTTCAAGAACAACTCAGCTTACCACGATATCCATCATCAGCGCTATGGAACCAAATACAATTTCTCTCAGCCTTTCTTTGTTATGTGGGATCGGATTCTGGGAACTTACATGCCTTATTCGCTTGAGAAAAGAGAGGATGGAGGATTCGAAGCACGCCCGACTAAAGAATTCAAAGACGATTAAAGATTTTGGAATTTGGATATATGTTATGTATCTGCCCTGGCCCCTGTGGTTGGATAATGGATGGTACTTTGTGTTATTGGAGGTGTAGTTTTAAATCAGAAACAGAACTGGTTTGCGTTTTGCGTTTCTTCGCAAGAGCGAATCTGGAGTTTGAGATTTGTATATAAACATTATTGAGTTGTTGTTCTACTTTCGGTTTTTTTGTTTTGCGTGTAACATTACTACAACAAACTTGTTTTTTTTTTTTTTTTTTTTTATAATCTATTTATCTACGAGCCCATTCTTGAAAGATTTTGTATTAATTTGTTTTATAATTTTATTGGATATTCTTTGAATTTTTGTAGAGCAAGCTGAAATCTTACAGATTTAAATTGACGAAGGAGAACCACCGTCAAGAAGAAGAGGAGATAGGAACTAACAATAGTCTTATCTAAAATATATAGAGTTCCAGTTTTGTTAATGTTTGTGAATTAGTTTCCTTTTTCTTTTTCGAAAAAAGAAAAGTCTTAAAGAAGTTTGATTTCCAAACCTAATGAGAATAGGAATTATAATTCACTATATAAAGGCTTCTGGTGAGATTGGTGGAGACAGAAAGAAGCTCAAGCGATACAATAGAAAGGAAGAGGGGGAGTTACTTACAGGAAAAGCAACCTTATAAACCCTAAGAGAGCAAAAGGCAAAAGCGGTGATCTACAACAAGCGCTAATGTGCACTTCCACAGCAATGAATGAAGGAGACGGATGACAATTCTGATGCTTCCTGATGATGTGGTATTAAACTGCTTAGCCCGCGTCTCAAGATTGTACTACCCAACTCTCTCCTTGGTCTCTAAGAAATTCCGTTCTCTCCTTTCTTCAAAGGAGCTTTACCAGACCCGAACCCTCTTAGGCCGCACCGAGAGTTTTCTTTATGTGTTCTTACGGCACGCTTCCCCTTCCAACTCTAACCCACAACGTTAGTTCACTCTCAGCCGGAGACCAAATAGTTCAAAAAGGATTTTGGTCCCGATTTCATCTCCTAATTTTCCATCTGCACGATGGTCAAAAGTTGCGGCGGTTGGTCCTAATATCTACTCCATCGGCGGATTGGAACATAACATGTCAAGTAAGGCTTCGTCTAACGTCATGGCCATGGACTGTCGTTCTCACACATGGTGTGAGGCCCCAAGCATGCATGTGGCCCGTGAATTCCATTCTGTTTGCGCCTTTGATGGGAAAATATATGTAACGGGAGCAAACGAAAATCTTGATTCAACGAATTGGATGGGTGTTTTTGATACAAACACCAGAACTTGGGAGTATTTACAGATCCCTGGCAAGGAGCTATGCAGAGCCTCTCAGTTAGAAAGCGTATGGTATGAAGGAACCTTGTATGTGAGGTCCGAGAAAAAGAATGTAACTTACAAGCTGCATAAAGGTAGATGGAGAAAGGTAGATTATGCTATGAATTATGGATGGGGTCGCTCATCATCTTATTGTGTGATAGAGAACGTGTTTTACCATAATTTTGGTACTACGATATATTGGTTTGACTCCCAAAAAAGATCATGGAAAATTCTGAAGGGTTTGGAAAGTTTGTGTAAGTCTCTTTGCAATAAAAGCGCCAAGTACTTGGTGGATTATGGTGGGAAAATTGCGGTTTTGTGGCAAGATTATGTGTCTCTCAAGTTCCCTAGAGAGACATCGATTTGGTGTGCGGAAATTGCGATTGAAAAACGCGAAAACGGCGAGATTTGGGGGATGCTAGAGTGGGTTGACATTGTCTTTACAACCGATAATCCATCTAATTTAGTGCATGCTCTTACTACTACCGTTTGATGAATATGAGTCATGATCATGTGACCATTAATACTCCTCCACATGTTAGATTACCACATGGAACAATTCTTTGCTACTCGTTAGCAGTGTCTACAGTCTACACTACCAGTACCTGCGAAGCCTCTTGCTTGTCCCACAAGAAACACATCAGATCCCAAAGTTCATCAACAACTAAATAATCTCTTCATCAAACTCATCGTTTCTGGGAGATGACACAACACCCATATATCACATCCCCAAGTTTTCTTTTTGTTCAATGCTCTGCTTTTTTCGATTCTATTTCATTAAATTAATGTGTTTTCTTATATCTCCAAAGCCCATTAGGCCCATTACAAATACAAGGCATCCATACTTTAAAACGCTGTCGTATTTAACTGTAGACATGATGTTTTGTACAACTGTTGATCGATCGATACTCTCTAAGTTTTTAAGGGTTTCTTATCACTTCGATATTTTTTTCCTTTCATGGATGAAGATGGAGATAAACATGTTCGTGCGAAAGGATCTGATGAAGTTGATTGGATAAGCAAATTACCAGATTGTTTGCTATGTGAGGTACTCTTGAATCTTCCCACAAAAGATGTTGTTAAGAGTAGTGTTTTATCCACTAGATGGAGAAATCTCTGGAAACACGTACCTGGTTTAGACTTAGACAATTCTGATTTCCAAGAGTTCAACACATTCTTGAATTTTGTTGATAGCTTTCTTGATTTCAACACTGAATCATGCTTACAATACTTTATGTTGAAGTATGATTGTGATGATGATGATTATGATCCTGAGATTTCTATTATCGGACGTTGGATCAACACTATTGTCACGCGCAATGTTAAACATATCGATGTTTTGGATGATTCATATGGGAGTTGGGAGGTTCAGTTGCCTTCAAGCATTTACACTTGTGAGAGTTTGGTATCTTTAAAGCTTTGTGCATTAACTTTACCTAGTCCCAAGTTTGTTTCTTTACCTTCACTCAAAGTTATGGCTCTGCTTATAGCTAAGTTTGCTGACGATTTGGCGTTAGAAACGCTGATTACGAAATGCCCGGTTCTTGAAAGCTTGACTATTGAGAGGTGTTTTTGTGATGAGATTGAAGTTTTACGTGTGCGGTCTCAGTCTTTGTTGAGCTTTACTCATGTTGCGGATAGTGATGAGGGTGTGGTTGAAGATCTTGTGGTTGAAATTGATGCTCCTAAGCTTGAGTATCTGAGGCTTAGTGATTATAGAGTTGCGAGTTTCATACTAAATAAACCGGGCAAGCTTGTTGAAGCGGATATCGATATTGTGTTTAACTTGTCTTCCGAAAATAAGTTTAATCCAGATGATCTACCAAAAAGAACTATGATTCGTAATTTTCTCGTCGCGATTTCTACTGTCAAAGATTTGATCATTTCTTCGAGTACTCTTGAGGTACACTACAATGTTGAATTTGCTTTTTGAATGTGCAACTTTATTCTTTCCTGATACTTTTATTTTCCTTGCAGGTTATCTATGATTTCTCAAGATGTGAACGACTACCCTTATTCCGTAACTTATCTGTCTTGTGTGTTGAGAGTTTTACGGCTACAGGTGGGAAATGTTACCAATCTTTCTTGAGAGCTGCCCGAATCTAAAAACTCTTGTCGTGGTGAGGATTGTCTATAGAACCATGAACTTCTTATCTTAAGATGCAAAATGGTGAAAGTATCATATATTGAAATTGTGTTTCTTCCACTCTGTATGTGCAGAAATCTACTAAATATCAAGAGAAGCAAGGAGATATTGTTTTCTCCGGACCTCGGCGTTTCCTATCATCGCTCGAGTATGTTAAGATAGAAAGGCCATTGAAAGGAGAGGCGATGGAGATGAAACTTGTGAGTTACTTACTTGAGAATTCAACAATCCTCAAGAAACTGACTCTATGCTTGGATGATTCCATAAAGAAAGAAGAATCTGTCATCCTAAAAGAACTCCTTGCCATTCCAAGTCTCTCTACATCATGCAAAGTTGTCGTTCTCTGATGACCTTCATAGTCATCACCAATAAACGTGCAAGGTTGTCTCTCAGTACCTTTTTTTTTTTTTTTTTTTTGGAACACCAGTCTCTCAGTACTTAATTATGAATTTCTCAGTACTTAATTATGAATTCTTTGTTTTCTCTTAGTTTGTGATAATATTGAAGTGTTCTATTTCGTAAAAGAATCATATTTTTGGCTCAAATCAATCAGTATCACTCCACCGTGGTTAATATATGCGGCTAAGATATGCTTTGGAAGTAGTTAAGAGAGAATGCTAGTGCTTTCTTCTTTAGTATTGCAGGAGTTGAATGAAACTGTAAAAAGTTTTCAACTCAAACTAGATAACATGAGTATCAATACGAAGCTTCGAGTGTAAGAGAATAGAAACGTGAAAAATTGAAGTTGTGAACTCAACATGAACAAGAAACCAAAATCGAAAACGAATTGTCGACAGAGCCAAAGATCCGAAACCAATACAAAAAAGCTTAAAATTTTTGATGAGTACACAATGTTTTTTCTCTGCAACCAGTACTATCGCTAGAACAGAGCCATAAAACATAAAAACTAATAGGGTCTAGCTCTTGGGAGCAACCTTTTCCTTTGCCTTTTGAAGCTTCAAAACCTTCTTCACAATCTTTTGCTCCTCCACAAGGAAAGCACGAATGATTCTGTAACACAAGAACCACCATCAGATTTTGACTTTGGTTACAAAGACACACAATAAATACAGAATAGAGCTCAAGAACAAACCTTTCCCTAACAGCAGAACCAGACAAAACCCCACCATAAGCACGGTTCACAGTCCTCCTGTTTCTTGATAAACGAGACCTCTTGTACTCAGATGGCCTCAAGTGAGGGATCTAAACAACCAAAGAGATTAGATTATGAAGGAATAGGCAGACACAACTACATCTACCAAACTATGATTTGCAAGATTATTTAAGATTTCTGCCACCAAGTATAAAAGTGATTCCTTACATACAAAAGGAGAAAACTTGAAAAGACAAGGCGGCACTAAATTTAGCTTATGATAAAGTTATGTACTGATGTGGATTCATCTTAACCAGCACAAGACCGTCAATAAGCACAAGAAACAATCAATACAATACAAAATCCAAACTAATACAATTGCTACCATCAAGATTGCAAAACAAACATATCTACACATAGTGAAAAGTTTCCAAGATGATTTAACATTTCTGCCACCAAGATTAAAGAAGACTCATTAGTCATTAGAGAAAACTTGAAAGAGACAAAGCGGCACTAAATTTAGCTTATGATAAAGTTATCTACTGATGTTGAATTCATCTAACCAGCACAAGACCGTCAATAAGCACAAACAAATCAACCTAAACTACTACATTTGCATCAAACAAATACAATGGGTCAATCCAAAATCAAACAAAGGAGACAACTTTAAGCTCAACAAGTACCAAATCGAATCAGAGAGGGTATGAATCAGAAGAATACTTACACCCTGAATACGCTTGCCGGTAACGGGACATTTAGGTCCACTAGCTCTCTTCTTAGTGGTCTGATACGTCAATTTACCTCCTGCACATCAACACTATCATCAATATACAAATACATTTCAAATCTTATAGATCGATGGATACAGATTTGTGATTTCAGCTGATAGATTGAAGAAGATGGATGAAGAAACAAACCTGGAGTTTTGACGATCCGGTGCTGGTTTGATTTGGTGGCGTAACTGTGTCGTGATCGGTAAACAAGACGCTGCACCATTTTCGCTTCTCTCTCTCTCACTCACCCTAGGGTTTTATCCTCAGCTTGACGGAGCAGAGAATTGACTTTCTAAGCTATATTATCTTTATATAGGGACTTCTTTCACTTCGACACCTTAAGCCCTAGATCGGACGGATCAGATTACATCTTGAATTGTGATCATCAACGGACGAGATTTTATGGGCTTGTTAGGTATTATTAAGCCCAATATGACTCCGCCTATGGCCCAGCTATCGAATGTTATAAGAGGTTTGATGAATCAGAACACATTGCTACTTGCCTCTTCAGTGTGTGGTCCAGGTCCTTGTATTGAAGATTCATGTTCATGTAACAAATGTTCATCAACTTTGGTTGTGGTACTTATAAAAGTTTTTGAGGTGATTTTAAAATGCTAGTCAAAGTTAACAATAGATTTGTCGATGTTCTTGACATTACCATTAGCACAATGAAAATGTACACTCGCCGGCGAATCATTCGTTGTAGAACAGAGTACTTGCAACTTCATATCTGTCTTTGTGATTATCAAAGTATGAATTATCTTCTTTTCTTTTGTGGTTTTTTCTATTGATATTGGATTAATAATACACTAAGCTACTATATATATCATCACTAGATATATATTTGTTCTCAGGAACAACAACAAAAAGACATCTTCCCGGATCTGAAGCCATAATATTCCAATATCTATGATCTAATCTATAGACAGAGATGGCTCAACAAGGTAACAACGAGAAAGATGGTTCAATGTGAATCTTCCGACCGTTGAAGCTGATCCTATCAAGTTTCTCCCTACACCAAACTAACTTCTCGGTGGTAAGTTTCGACATGTTCATCACTCTTGAAACCAGTCTCAGTTCAATTTGAGCTATCAGTAACTCATCCTTCACACCAACATTACTCTTTGACTCATTCTTCTTTATCTTCTTCACTATACAGCTTTGGCTTCTTAGTATTTCCTTTAGCTTCTTATCCTTCTACATTAGGCCAAGAACAGGTTCTTGAATTATTGAACATTGATGTAATCTGACAAAATGAGAGCGGGAAATTGAATAACGTAAATACCTTTTGGAGATCAGTTCTGATATCTGTCAAGAGCTCAAGGTCTAGAGGATCTTGTGGAGAGACTTGAGTTTGGTGAGAAACTTTTATTATTGAAGTAAACTCATCTTTGTCTACACAAAGAAACTCCCAAAAAACACTCATCGATTCTCGGATAATCTCTCTCAACATTTCAATCTTTACCGCGAATTCCCCTTCGTTTCTACATTTCTTG